GCAGGAGTGGGGTTGGGATGGGGATAGGTAGGATGGAGACAGGACAGGATGGGAATGGAGATGGGATGGGGACGGGATGGCATGGGACGGGCCGGGGCCAGACCTGGGTGAGAGAGCGGCGCCAGGTGTCCGGGGGGAGTCCCCTCGCAGGCCTGAGTACAGAGCCAGGGCCTCCCCAGGGAGCCCTCCCAGGGTTCTCCCCTGGAGTGCCAAGTGCCCATGGACATCGATTCCCAACATCTGAGAAACGCCAGGACGTCTGAAAGTGTTGGAGGGAGCCACAGGGGGTTGGAAATGCCCCCGAACACTGCCTGTCACAGCCCCAGACTGTCCCGAGCACAGGCAGAGCATCCTTGCTTGCCTGAGCTGCTGATGTGTAGGAAATAACGTTCGTTGTGCTGAACAGTGGCTTTTGGTTTTTTTTTCACAGAGTAAAATTGGAAGAGGTAGTTGCAGATGATTATGAAGAGATAGATGATTTTACCAGTGCAACAAAAGAAGACAAAAAAAGGCACAGACGAAAGCAGGATGAGGAAGAGTTGTCTAGAAATGAAGACAGGCATAAAAGGGAAAAGAAAAAAAAAAAGCATAATGCTGAGTATTCCTCTTGTAGGGAAGAGGCCTCTGTAGATACTTGGGGCTCTCAAAAAAGGTACACGAAAAGGAAAAGAAAGGAAGAAGTTAGTGGAAGAAATAAACACACAGAAGGTAAGGAAGAGAGCTCTCCTGCCCATTCTAAAAAGCTTAAAAAAACAGAGAGGGAGAAACAGCTGGCAACAAAACAGAAGGATAAACAGCAGACAAAGGCTGCTGCAGCAAGGATGGCGTTAGAACAGGCAAATGAGAGCATTTCTCTAAACTCTGGTACAAATAGCACCAAAAAGATCACAGCACAGTCCAGAAAAACAGACGTAGGAACTTCAGATTCCTCCAGCACATCATCTGACAGTGACAGCAGTGACATAGGCATAAAGCAAAATAAATCTTCCCATAAACCTGTAGTGGCAATGCTTCCCAAAGACAAATCCCAAGCTGCTGCAAATTCTCACGTGAAAACTGTTGCTTCTAGTAAAGTGACTGTGAAGTCTAACACTGAAAAGACTAAAACTGCAGTTAGTAAAAATGTTAAAAAATCCGAGTCCTCTAGTTCAGATTCTGACTCGAGCACAGAGGATGAGAAGGTGACACCAGCACAAGACAGCACTACAAAGGAAAAGTCACTGCCTAACAACGTGGCAGCAGTAAAAGCCAGTACCAAGGCTCTCAAAGCAAAGAGCTCCTCTTCAGAGTCTGACAGTTCAGATTCAGACACACCTCTTGTTAAAAGATCTGCAGCAGATGCTGGAGTGAGTAATTCTATAATCATAAACAATGTTAAACAGTTGCCAAGCAGTGTCCAAGGACCACTTGCCAGCCCAGGTCGTGGAAGGGGGCATGGAGCAGGAGAGAACTTCTGGAGAGGACCTAGGGGCCGTGGGTGTCGTGGGATGATTAGGGGCCAAGGCCGTGGGAGAGGAGCAAACCTTGGCTTCTTCTATAACTACAGCTGTGAAGGCCAGAAACAGAGGCAGATAAATGAAGCTGTGACAGACACTTCTGTTCTTGTCCAGGTGAGTGACTTGTGCAGTCAGAGGTCACCTTTCTCTTGCAGCTTTAGCTGCACAAGATGCCTGCAGGATGAGAGTAGTTTGTGAAAGCAGAAAGAGGTCAGTAACATAAGGGTTGATCTTAGTAAATTTGTTATTTACTGTATCTCCATTTGTCAGCCTGAGGAAGTGTTCGTGAAACAGTGTTTCAGTGATTGTAGTGTATATCTCAAAGCATTTGGATATGTACCTTACCCTGCTCAGAACTTCTTACAATCTGTACAACATGAACATTGCTTCTGGTTTTATCAATGCAGTAATGAAATCAGTGAGTTACTTTTTGCTTCACAGAATGCTGTGGAGACTCCCAAGAGAGACTATAGTGTGTTACCTCTTCTAGCTGCTCCACCCCAAGTGGGAGAAAGGATTGCCTTTAAGGTAAAGAACTCTGGAAATACTGACTGTTACTGTGAATGAAAATACTGAATTGCTTCATTTGGGCCACTAAGTTTCTGACCTAATAGTTTCCCATGCAACAGAAGCTCTTAAGGTTTCTGTTGTTGGCTCTAAAAAATCTCTTGCTGTAAAGCTTGACTTTGATTTTGACAAAGGTTTGGGGCATGTGTGTAAGTTAAATGCATTTCTTCAGACTTTCTGCATTTGTGTGATACAAAGAAATATTTCCACTGTCATTTTGGTGGAGAGTACAAATAATTACACTTCAGTGCATAATAAAAAAGTGAATGAAAACAAAATCACTGCAGTTGAGGAGACTGGGATCCATCTCCCTGATCTCCTCACATGGCCTGATCTGAACGAAAAGCCTTCAGAGCACTGAGTCCTGAAAGTCTGCCTGGAACTGTGATTGGCATCAGGATCCAAGAGTGGGAGACTCAGCTCTTGCACTCTCTTGCTGAAGAAACTCTGTGTGGGTATAGGTGGAATCATCAAAGATTGGGACAAGTTCTAATTTGTTACTTGTATTTGTTTCAACAGCGCTTGGAACTAACTGAAAATTACAGTCCTGAAGTTTCAGACTATAAGGTACTGGTTTTCTCTCCTCCCTTAGTTCACTCACAGGACTACTATAGGTCAGGGGTGGTTGTGTAGTGTCTTTCTTTGCATCCAGGTGGCTGTTCCTGGTGCAGCAGTAAAAATGAAAACTCTAAAAGCCAAAACCAATTGAAAATTCGAAAGATGTAGCAGTTATTGAACAAACTCCTCAAACTGCAAACATTATTAATGATCATTAATATTTTAGCGATGACAATAAGTGCAGATCTTCAGGTAGTCCAGTGTAGTTGGATTTGAGTCTGCTGTGAGTTGAAATCAAGCCAAGTTCTTGAAACTGGTACAAGTAAAATTTTGGAGCTACTTCAAATAACTTGGTGATTGGGTAAGTACTGATTTAAACCATAAAGTCTGTGACAATAAGTAGCTTTGGTTTATTGATGCCAGTAGCTACAGATTGCTGATCTTTAATTCTCTGCAGACTTTATACATAGAGACAGGAACACCTGCTAGCCAAACACACTTCCTCTAACAGTAATCAAAGTGGTTGTAAATATGGAATAGTTATCCCGTACTGAAGTGTGTCTTACCTGATTCCTGTTGCTTTATGCAGGAGGCAAAAATCCTCAGTTGGAATGCTGATCAAAACCAGGTTGAGCTGGAGATCCTTTCGGCGCCAGCAGGACCGTGTAGGTACCCGGGACACCAGGGGCTCGTGGTCGTGTGCATCAGGTGCAAAACAGCTAGTCCAAGCACCTTTCACCTTGCAGGAGTATTCCCAGTTTCCTTGGATCCTTGCAGCACACCCCTCCTCTCCCCTGTTCACTCCCTCCCCAAGAGCTCTGTGTCCCTGCAGGACTTCTGACCCTAGCTAGTGGTACTGAAGGTGCTCATGGCTGTTTACGGAAGTGTGAGTGGTCAGTAACTCACCTCTACCATGATTTCATTTCCTGAAAAAAAATTAAATCATTACGTGGAATACAGAGAAAATGGGAGATCATAATACCAGTTCTTTGCAGGTCAGTGCAGCCACTGTCTGCAGTGGCTGTGGAATGAGTCCCTGCAGTGACCAGGTACAACTCCCGAGACATGAAGTGATGGAGCTCTCTGAGGCTGAATGTTCCCATTTAATCCAGAATTAATGAATTGTCATATGAGCTTGTTCTCTCAAATTTTGTCAATGTATTGGTGACTTTTTCATGTGTGTAGTCATAGTGGATAATTGCCTTAATTGTGGTGTGTACTATTCAGTTCTACCTCAGATTTTTCGTTAGTTACAAACCAGACAGCTGAAAAAACCCACCACAAAGCCAAACCCAGACTGGCTTTGATTGGCTTTCATGGTAAAGATTTCAAGTTCTTTTGGTTTACAGTTAATTGAGTTGTTTGGTTGGTTTTTAAGGTGCTAAGGAGCCAGGGAAGTTTGATCTGGTGTACCAGTCTGCAGATGGAGTGGAGCTGATCGAGTATGCAGTGCCTCAGGATACCAAGGTATGTGGGTCCTGTTCTGAACCTGTTACAAGTGCCACATAGCTGATACCTGCCCTGCTTTATGGCTCTGTTCATCTCTGTGAGATTCCCTTTTTAGTAATGCATCTCATTAAAATACATGGGAGCAAAAGTAATTGTTCCTTTCTAGCAAGAATGTGCATGAATACAAGATAAGCATCACTTTCACATTACTCAGTTAACTGGGGTCAAAAACAGTCATCAAACTGTGCAACACTTGTTTTGGCTAATAAAATAAACAACATGTCTCATAGAGTATCTCTTCTTACAAGGTTATTCATTTCATGTACTGTTGTTCCTACCTGCATCTGTCCTTACCCAGGATGTCAGGCACGTTGAGATTCATCAAGCAGATCAGTGAAGCACAGGAGGGAGCTGTGAGCTTTGTTCAGTTGTGCTGTTGTTTAGGCATAGACAAAGCCCAGTAGAAGGGAAATTGCATGTGCTGGAGTAGCTGGTGCCTGCTAAGTGTGTCTGGTTTGTTTTCAGATAACTGAAAGTTGGGATGCGCTGATAGAGCCAAGACTGATTGTTGAGCCTCCAGTTAACAGATCCAGCATTGAAAATGGAACTGTCTAAGATGTGAAAAGATGTAAATAATTGTACGGACTTGTTTGGTGACATGCTGCCTTCTGGTTCTGAGGGTGGCAGGTGTACTGGTGGATATTATTAATAATTTTTTAAAAATGAAACTGTGCCAGAAGAAAACCACTTTTTTCCTTAAGATATGTTTTGATGTCATTCAGGAAGACTTTGTTTATTATAGGAAGTCTAATAAAGATCTGTTGGGTTTTTTTCCTAATATTTTTATCCTACTGCTGCAAGCTGCAGAGCTGGAATGGTTTGACGAAAAGCTAAAACACAGCCTTGTACTGTGAGTAACTTTAAATGTCTGGGTCTGGCTAGAGCTGTATAACTGCCACACAGAGGTCACTTTAAATGAAAAATAAAATACAAATATTGTTGATGTGCACATCTCTTCCTCTGTGTCTGCTGAGCATCATACAAATGCCATGACTTTACAGTTACTTACAGAGTTCACCTGAACATGTCCAGAAAAGCCTGTGGATTTCAAGCTTCTGTAGTTTGGAGGCAAATAAATAGTACTGGTAACTGCTAACTTTGCTTAGAACCAGTGAAATTGTGTCCCACTGTGTTAATCTGTGTAGGCTCTGAAAACCTTTTTGTTTGTTTGTTTTAGAGCAAACACTTTTGCCCTGTAAGTGCTGAAGTTTCTGTGCTGCCTTTCTTCTTTCCTTCCCAGCAGCAGAACAGGTCACCAGGTGCTGGCAATGCACTGCACTGACAGCTCTGCTGATTATTGGCATTGAAGGAGCACCTTGTACCTGAGTAGGCTTGGCAAGTCTTAGTCTTTGAGAATCACTGTTCTGTGTAGTTGGATTCTTACACAGAAGACATGGGAAAAAACAAACCCTAGAGACAAACAGCCACCTGCAAAGTAGTACGTTATGGTTTAGCTAACGTGTGCTCTGACTAGTGCCAGATTACATCAAAATACTGCACACCTTTGCATTAGCCCTATTGAAATGTCTGTTTGTGAAGGAATCCTTTCTATATGAGTAAAACTAATTTGTATATTGTGGCTCTCTTTAGTTGCCATTATTTCATGCTAGAATTTGGGTTGTTAGAGGCAGTCAGATTCATGTGTGGCTGTTCTTGCAAACTGGATGGAAAAAAATGCCAGACACTAGCATGGTCCTGCTGAGGTAGTGGGGATTAATGGGAAGATCATTTTTCTAAGGGAAATCATTCATTTTTTATTCTTACAAAATTACAAAAATCTAAATGCAAGTATTTCTCAGCACTGTTAGGCCACAGGAGAAGGGCTCAAAATGACCAACCAAATGTGGCAGGGCAACAAATCATAGAATCATAGAATTTAGGGGTTGGAATGGACCTTACAGATCATCCAACCCCAACCCCTGCCCTGGGCAGGGACACCTCCCAGCAGAGCAGGTTGCTCAAGGCTCATCCAACCTGGCTGTGAACACTGCCAGGGCTGGGGCAGCCACAGCCTCCCTGGGCAACCTGTGCCAGTGTCTCACCACCCTCACAGGGAAAAATTCTTCCTAATCCCTAACCTAAACTTCCCCTCCTTCACTTTGAAGCCATTACAAATGGTTGGAGCAGTGGTGCCACAGCTGGGGGTTTGGTTCCTCAGACCCCAGGGTTCACCCTGGCAAGCCTGGGCTAGTGGGGGCTCATGGGGTACATCTCACAAAGAGGGGAGAACGTATCCTCACTCGGTGCCTTGCCAGAGTAGTTAAGAGAGCTTTAAACTAGGCACCTATCCATCCTGCCAGCTGGATGCCAACACCTATAATGGATGCCTGGAGCAAGGCAAAGGCATTCTAGATGCTCCATCTAGAGTCAGCTGTACCCAGGGCCCAGCTCAAGTGCCTGTACACCAACACACGTAGTATGGGGAACAAGCAAGAAGAACTAGAGACATGTACATGCCTTTGTGGCTGTGACATCATTGGTCACAGAGATGTGGTGGGATGGCTCCTACAATTGGAGCATTGGAGTAGAAGGTTGGGCTTCCTCCATGCTACAATTTCCAGCCCTCTTTGACAATGGGGAACTTAAATTGCTCGTCTGATCTCTAAACATCCTGTGTTCTCCAGAAGCAAAAGCTACAGCTGTGAGGGTTTGTATTTACCCTTTCTGTTTGCATACCTTTGTCTATACCAGTAGATAGCAGATGAATGCTGCAGACAATCCAGTGAAGGGGCTGAGTCTTTGAAAGATGAGGCTTAGTATGGCTTAGTGCAGATAAGCCCAAGGAGTTCGGTCACTTGTAGGAAAATAAAAAGTGTAAACATTAACACAACACAGCTTTCTTAAGAACATTCCTTCGCAGTCAGTATCAGCCATCACCTCTCAGGTATCCTCAGGTGTTTACATTTCCTCTGGCAGCAGTTACAGAGTCCTGACCAGCACATCCCAACTGCTGTAAATGCATGGCACCTCCTAGAAACTGCTCCACCCTCCAGCAGGTGACAGATTCGATCCCTGAACTTTTGCTCCCGCACAGCCTTGCAGCTCTAAATGCCTCCTGTTGTCCTTTCTGTGCCTGTATCTGTCAGTAAGCAGTGACTCAGAGCCCTGTGACACACAGCCCATCCACAGCTTATCCTGAAGGAGCATTCCAAGGCTGGGGCAAATAACCGATGTAGGTAGGAGTCCATGTTATCTGTATAACGTAGATTTACAAAGACCATTTGGTCTTCCGAAAGAATTGGCTAGGAATTTATTTCAGTTGTAACAGACACCTCCCCATTGCCTCTTTGGAGTGCTTTATACGATTCCTGAACATTTTTGGAAGTGCGTAAGGACTGATGCCAACACAATTGCCTGCTAATACGTAGGAACGACATTAAAAAGGAACCTCAGCGGTTTTCCACACAAGGTGTCCTTTGCCCACTGGATATGCAGTGGACAGCAGATGGTTCTTGCTGCTGCAGACCACCAGGTTCTGTTTGAATTCGCGGGGGCTCACAGGCTTTGTGCCAGGCTGGGCATTTCAGCCCAGGTGCGGGGGGGCG